TAATAACACTAGTAGTAATAAAAATAAAAGTAATTATAATGATAAAAAAAGATTTGGCATGATCTGTTTTTTGAAATTATCTTCTATTTTTATTTATAAATACTCGTTGTCTATTTTTTGAAATTTTGGAAAAAAATAAGAAGTTAACTGATGGCTCTATGCTGAATCTCAAAGTCAAAGCATTCTATGATAGACATACTCTTATGTGACAAGGTGAATGTTACTTTTTTGCATTATTATTATTATCACTGCTCAATATTTTGTTGCAGCAATAGTCTGATTTCTTTTCTGAATGTACTTATCTTCGTTCGTTCTTTACGTGGCTTTTGTTTCTAGTCCTTATCTTAAACATTGTTACTGTTACTAAATTTTAAAAAAGGGAAAAAAAAGTTTTTAAATGGTATGTGGGTCAAATGGTTCTCAGTAGACTAAAACAGGGATGTTGACTGTTACTTTGGATGAGAATGACTGGCCACTTTGGTTTCTGCAGAAAATACTGGTTTCAGCAGTCCGGAAACAGCTCAGTTCCAAAATTGAATTTAGAGTTGGGTGACCAGATTTTAACATTTGTAAAGCTGGACAACATGGGGGAGGTGTGGACGGGACAGGGCAGGGCCTGACAACAATGCAAACTTTGATAAGCAGTTCTTGATAATCACTTCTCAACAATTATTTGTTATTATTACAGTTTAACATTATAAAATTAACAAAAATAATATAAAACTCATATTCTGGCAAAATAGTCACATGGCAGCCGAAAACCATATATTCTGTTCCTGTTCTCCCACCTGTTCATGCATTCTTTCCAAAAATCGGGACTTTTTTAAAACGCCACAGGATGTGGGACAAATTATTCAAAAGCGGGATGTCTGGTCACCCTAATTTAGAGGGACATCTCCAGGCACTCATAGAATATTGGCCTAGAACACACCTAAATCCAATAGATGAAGAAGAAAATGAAGCAAACCATGTAAATGGAGAGCAGGAGAACCGACACAGGAGGGAAATGCATATTTTCCAGGGCATCACATACACCCTGTGGTCTTTGTGAAGCTGGAGGGCCACACACTGTCTGCAGGCTGCTCTGCCAGATTCCAGGATTGAAACAGAATCAATGCTTCTTAATGAGACAGTGCCACAATGGGTAATTGACATGGAAAAAATGTACCCAAATTTAACAAAATTCTTTTCTGCCTCCAACCTCATGCATTTTGGAGAGCAAAACTCTTAAAAAAGGTAGACTCAGGTGGCACCTGTGGCTCAGTGAGTAGGGTGCCAGCCCCATATACCAAGGGTGGCGGGTTCAAACTCGGCCCTGGCCAAACTGCAACAAAAAACAGCCGGGTGTTGTGGCCAGCACCTGTAGTCCCAGCTACTTGGGAGGCTGAGGCAGGAGAATTGCCTAAGCCCAGGAGTTGGAGGTTGCTGTGAGCTGTGACTTCACAGCACTCTACCAAGGGTAGGAAGTGAGACTCTATCTCTAAAAAAAAAAAAAGTAGACTCTCTGCTAGTGACATGATTCAAGTCCAGAAAGTTATGCAACATGTTTACGAGTGGTGGTGACACTGCCCTCCACTACCAGCAGAAGTCCACATGAAGGGTGGGCTGGTGCTCCTGGGTATTCATTACTACCTTCCTCTATAGTAAAATTAGTTCTAGAAAGCAAACAGAGCCCAAACAGGAGCAAGACTCCTAACAGCCAACTTGGTATGGACTGAAATTATATTTCAATTGAACTGATTAATTCAGATGTAAAATACCAGAGATGCCAAAAATATGCATACACATTTTAAGTGATCTTGTTGGAAGTAAAGTCGATCATTCCCCAGAAGTATACAGAAGTATGTGTGTAGGTACACTTAACCAGTAATGATACCTTCAATTCAACTTCAAAAAGTAATACATAGATAACATCTCTTAAAATGTGTAAACATTTTTTGGCATCCTCTGTAGAAACCAGTCTCCATGTGTAAACTGTCCTCAAAGGAGCAGAGTCAAGAGCAGAAGATCTCTCTCAAGCAGACACTGTCTTGCGAGATATGCAGAGAACTGATAACAGGCCAGTGCAGACTTTGCTTCCCTTTTTTTTGTTTCAAAGGACCTTTTTTTTTGAGACAGAGTCTCACTATGTCACCCTCGGTAGAGTGTCATGGTGTGGCAGCTCACAGCAGCCTCAAATGCTTGGGCTTAAGTGACTCTTTTGCCTCAGCCTCCATAGTAGCTAAGGGACTACAGGCACCCACCACAACACCCGGATATATATATATATATATATATATTTTGTAGTTGTCATTGTTGTTTAGGAGGCCCAGGCCAGGTTTGAACCCACCAGCCCCAGAATAGTGGCTAGTGCTGACCCATGTTTCAAAGGACTTTTATCTTTGTCTGTTAGCACTTGTTAGTGACACATTGGTCAGGCCACACCTGTCACTGTGTTTTGACCTCAAATCCATACACTCTGTAGCTTGTCTAAGAGAGTACATTCCATTCATACAGTAGCTATGGAGGCTTTTGGGCAGCGCCTGTGGCTCAAAGGAGTAGGACGTCGGCCCAATATGCCAGAGATGATGAGTTCAAACCCAGCCCCGGCCAAAAACTGCAAAAAAAAGAAAAAAAAAGGGAATAGCTATGGAGGCTTTTTCCAAGTTAGTCATTTAAAAAAAACTGAAATTGTTTTTACCATTTAAGATAGTTGTTTTTGCTTTTGTTTTTTGTTTGTTTGTTGAGACTAAGTCTCACTCTGTCACCCTGAGTAGAATGCCACGGTGTCACAGCTCACAGTAACCTCAAACTCCTGGGTTTGAACAATCCTATTGCCTAGCCTAGCCTCTAGAGTAGCTGGGACTATAGGCACCCATCATAACACCCAGCTAATTTTTTTTTCTCTATTTTTAGTAAAGATGGGTCTCACTCTTGCTCAGGCTGGTCTTGAATTCTTGAACTTAAGCAATCCACCACCATCACCCCACTCCCAGCCTCCCAGAATACTAGGATTATAGTATGAGGCACTGCACCTGCCAAAGATACTTATTTTTTAAAGAGAATTTGCTGTTGCACAATTTTTGAACCAGCTCACCTTATAGTAAATGATTAATGTTGGGCTTGTTTTTAATACTGCGTCTCACATATGTTCTTGTAGGAAGATGTATTGGAAATTCCAGGTGCTAGAACCACAGCACTTGGACTGCTGGGCCAGAGTTTGCACAGTCCATACCTACCAATGCTGCACCCCCACCCCAATAATGCCCTGGCTATGCAGAAGCCCCACGGAGGTGCAGCTGCTTCACCCATCTCCCGTGTCCAATGCTATTTGCAGGCAAAGCCAGCTGAGACCACAGGTTCTTGCTCTTGATGAGCAGCATGACATCATCAAAACTTCAGCATGGTGAAAAAAATATTTTTTTTTTTTTGAGACAGAGCCTCAAGCTGTCACCCTGTGTACAGTACTATGGCATCACAGCTCACAGCAATCTCCAACTTCTGGGCTTAAGCGATTCTCTTGCCTTAGCCTCCCAAGCAGCTGGGACTACAGGCACCCTCCCCAACTCCTGGCTACTTTAGGGTTGTAGTTGTCATTGTTGTTTGGCAGGCCCAGGCTGGATTCAAACCTGTCAGCTCTGGTGTATGTGGCTGGCACCTAAGCCACTTGAGCCCCAGGCACTGAGCCAGCATGGTGACATTTTAATTTCATTCTAATGTTACTTAGAACTTATGATGTCAGATGCTGGCTGCAGGAAGTCAGTGGTTAGTGTGCTGGCCCCACACCCCAGGGGTGCCAAATTTGAAACTCTGCTGGCCTGATTAACAACAACAATAATGAAAACCAATGGTGTCAGAATAAAGGAATATCAGAGCGTTAATTTGGTGTCCATGACCTGGGAGTATACATATTTTGGTTCTCCAAAGATCATATGCAGGTTTTATTGTATCTGTATCCTGATCTTCTTTTCTCTGTTCCTTCTAACAATCTAAAGCTTTCTTAGAATCACTTGGATCTTGTACAGAATATCACTTATTGGGGATAAACACTTCAACTCTTGGCAGAAAATACTCTGAATTTCCCCAAAGTCATTTATATTCAGAATAGACCAATGGTCCACCCCCACAAAATTGCATAAAACAAGCCTCCTGTAGAAAGTCAGAAGCACATGTGCCTTCAGAGGCAGCTTATCCAGTCTCATTGCCTTCCCAGCTTGTGTGTGGCCTGTCCCCACAATAGCAGGAACTGGGAGGTGGTAGGGGGTAGGGTTTTTTCTTTTCTACATCTTCACAGGTTCAGCTGGGGGCACATGATGGGCCCAGGTCTACACCTTACTTACTATTTGAGATATTCTGACTCACACAATGGCAAAGACAGGCTTGCCTCACTGCTGGTCAGCTTCCTTTGAAAAGTGGACAAGCCATTTGCTTCCGGCATTGTGAAGAAGTGAGCAAAGACCTGACCACGTTTCCAATGGGCTGAATAGTCATTCTCCCTTCTTCAGAGAGCAACCAGCTTCTTTAAAAGAAAAAAAGGCTCAGAGCCTGTAGCTCAAGCAGCTAAGGCACCAGCCACATACACAGAACCTTCCAGCCCGGGACTGGCAAACAACAATGACAACTACAACCAAAAAATAGCCGGGCCTTGTGGAAGGCACCTGTAGTCCCAGCTACTTGGGAGGCAGAGGCAAGAGAATCGCTTAAGCCCAGGAGCTGGAGGTTGCTGTGAGCTGTGATGCCACGGAACTCTACCCAGGGCGACAGCTTGAGGCTCTGTCTCAAGAAAAAAGAAAAAAAAGTCCTTTCTATTTTTCTGTTGGATACAACAGTGTACTTTTGGTGCATAGGGTGGAGAGGCAGAATATTTGTCTCCGGAGTTTCATTTCTCTAACACTGCGTCCTTCCTCCACCTCCAGTTCTCATACCCATTGGGTGTCGCGATTCGAAGAAGCCAATCAGCATCTTCGCGGTTCCTAGTTATAAGGTCCCCACAGACAAACCCGGATTCAGCGTCTCCCCAGACCCCTAGGATGAAGGTCACGGCGCCCCGAACCCTCCTCCTGCTACTCTCCGGGGTCCTGGTCCTGACCGAGACCTAGGCGGGTGAGTGCTGGCTCGGAGGGAAACGGTCTCTGCAGGGGTAGCCAGGGGACGGCCTGGCGGGGACGCAGGACCCAGGGACCCGCGCCGGGAGGAGGGTCGGGCGGAGTCTCAGCCCCTTTCGCCCCCAGGGTCACACTCTCTGCGGTATTTCCACACCTCTGTGTCCCGGCCCGGCCGCGGGGAGCCCCGCTTCATCGAAGTCGGCTACGTGGACAACACGCAGTTCGTGCGGTTTGACAGCTACGCGGAGAATCCGAGGATGGAGCCGCGGGCGCCGTGGATAGAGCGGGAGGGGCCGGAATATTGGGACGAGCAGACACGGCGCGCCAAGGGCCACTCACAGACTTTCTGAGCGAACTTGAGGACCCTCTGCGGCTACTACAACCAGAGCGAGGACGATGAGCGACCCCGGGCCCCGGGTGCAGGTTAGGATTCCTCTCCGTCCCCCATGGACGGGCCAGGGTCTTCCAGGTCTCTAGATCGGAGCTCATCTCGAGCCGTGGGATTTACCGGACCCTTGAAGACTATTCAACCCTTGAAGAATTAGAAGAAGTTCCCTCCGATTTCTCTCTGGGTTGAAGTTGGAGGGGGGTGGGGTCTGAGGGAGCGCCGCTGACCGCGAGGCGGGGCGAGGAGGGGCCAGAGTCTGACACTCTGCAGTGGATGCACGGCTGCGACGTGGGACCGGACGGGCGCTTCCTCCGCGGGTACGAGCAGGTCGCCTACGATGATGCGGATTATCTCTTCCTGAACGAGGACCTGCGCTCCTGGACCGCGGCGAACCCAGCAGCTCAGATCTCAAAGCACAAATCAGATATGACTGGTGAGGCGGAGTTCCAGAGGGCCTACCTGGAGGAAGAATGCGTGGAGTGGCTCCGCAGATACCTGGACAGCGGGAAGGACGCGCTGCAGCGCTCGGGTACGAGGGACTTGGGGCCCATCTCCTTTGACCAGGGGCTGTGCCAGTAGCCAGCAGCCCTCCAGAAAGTGGAGGAAAATAGGACAGAGCCAATATATCGCTCCTCGCTGGAATCGGGAGAGGAAGTCCACTTGGGTTTCTTGATTCTGTACCAGAGCGCGCCTCACCCAAAGGGCCTGCCCTTCTCTGAGAGGCAATTAAGGAATCCAGTCTCTCTGAGGATGCACAGGGAGACCACCCTTGAAATAACTCATCAGCGGTTCTCTTTGTCTCTGCCAGCAATCCCTAGGGACTTTCAGGCCTTTTCTCTGCCCAGCTCCTGTATCTCTCAAAGTCTCACCCTTGCTTTTCTAAGTGAACTCGGACTCCACCCAGGTCAGGACCACAAGTCCTCCTTGTCCGCCAGAGAGACCTGGTGCCTCCTACACTAGGCTATCTCATCACAATTCTAGAACTTTCTAGTGAATAGGGGATTATCCCAGATGCCTGAGTTCAAGCTGGTAACTAGGAGTTTTTTCCCCGTTTGAGTTTTGTTTTGTTTCGTTTTCCAGTTTAATACAAGGGTACAGATGATTAGGTTACTTTATTTGTGTTTGTTAGGTAAAGTCCAAGTTGTAGTTGTGCCCCTCACCCAGGAGATGTGCCATAGATTCCTGCATTGTGCCTGTTGGGTGAGAGCACACCAGTCGCACTGGTGGCTAAGTTCTATGCTCCCCTCTCCCAGCCTAATTGACCTGTTCCTTCTTAGGATGATCAAGAGTATGGGTGGAGTGTCTCATGAAAAATGCAAATGTTTCTTAATTTACTGATCCTTCTCAGACCCCCCAAACACATATATCACCCACCACACAGTCTCTGACTGTGAGGCCATCCTGAGATGCTGGGCCCTGGGCTTCTACCCTGCAAAGATCACACTGACCTGGCAGCAGGATGGGGAGGACCAGACCAACAACACAGAGCTTACAGAGACCAGGCCTGCAGGGGATGGAACCTTCCAGAAGTGGGCAGCTGTGGTGGTCCCTTCTAGAGAGGAGCAGAGATATACCTGCCATGTGCAACACGAAGGGCTTCAGGAGCCCCTCACCCTGAGATTGGGTAAGGAGAGGGATGGAGAGGGTGTTATGTCTTCTTGAGGAAAGCCCTCCAGCTGGCTCAGGGCTAAGGCTTAGGGTTGAAAGATAAGTCAACATGACCTCTGAGAGAAAATCCCCTAGGTTCCACCAAAGCTGCACCACCTCTTTACCTGCTCTGAGTCTTTCTTTCCCTGTCTGTACAAAGGATGCATATTGGGTTCATCATGGATTTGCCCTGAAGATTAATTAATTCTATATGTAAAATATACATTATTGACCAAGCCTTCTTAAGTGCCTACTATTCATAGCTAATGTTATATTGATTAAACCATTTTAGTTGTTTCCATTCCTTTGTTTTTAGAAATCGCAATTCAAGGAATATCCTTGTTATATATTTTCGAAAACATATGTGAATATCTTCTTAGGATAAATTCCTAGAAGAGAATTTTTTTTTTTTTGAAGCAGAAACTCACTTTGTATCCCTGGGTAGAGTGTTGTTGTGTGATAGCTCACAGCAACCTCAAACTCTTGGGCTCAAATGAGTGATCCCCTTGCCTCAGCCTCCTGAGTAGCTGGTACTACAGGCACCCACCACAGTACCCGGCTATTTTTAGAGATGGAATCTCACTCTGGCTCAGGCTGGTCTCAAACTCATGAACTCAGGCAGTTCACCTGCCTCATTCTCCCAGAGTGCTAGGATTACAGGTGTGAATGAGCCCAGACCTAGACGAGAAATTTTTGTGTCAAAATTTAAACACATTATATTCTTGATACATTTTACAATAATTTTATGTTATGTATATTTTTATATTTTATATTTATAATTTTATATCAGTGCTTAATCCCATCAACTTTTATGACAGTACATTTTCCCTATACTTTGATCCATACTATTATCACTGAGTTTCATCTTTGCTAAGCTAAGAGATTTTAAATTTTATTTCCGTTTCATAGTCCACATTTTAATTTTGTTCACATTTGTTTATTCCTAACATAAACATTTGTTTGATATTTTCATTTTTCTATCCCAAGTTGCATTCTAATATTCATTAACCATTTTCTAAATGGGATGTTAAGTATTTTAAAATATTGAATTTAAGGGGGAAAAAGCAGCCTCTCTGACACTAGGCCCAGAGCTAGCCTGATGTTCTTTGTTAAACCCTGTCATTCTCCTGTTGGACATAAATCATCTCACAAAACACCAACATCAGACAAGGTCATTCTGAGATGATGCTAAAGTGACATAAAACAAGTACACTTCACAGATTTGTCTAAGCACTCTTCCTTCTGATATGAACGGCTGACCCTTCTCTACTAATTACAGTTTTAACCTTCTCTAGTCCACCTTCCCTAGAGATAAGATTTTTTTTTTTTTTGGCACCCGCAGCCAGGCCGCTTGGCGGGCAGGGGCCCGGGCAGCAGGGGCGGCCCGGCCTCAGCTCTACCTTGGCGGTGCGGGCTGCTCGGGTGAGGCGCCCAGACACCGGCGCAGGCTCGGCCGCGGCCCCGCCCCCCGCTCTCCCCGCCCCAGGCGCCCGGCGCGGGCTGCGCTAGGCTGAGCGGCTGGGCCCACAGGCGGCCATGGCGGCGGGCGCCGGGGCCAGGCCGGGGCCGCGCTGGCTGAAGGCGCTGGGCTAGCCGCTGAGCGCGGCGCGGCTGCGGCGACTGGAGGAGCACCGCTACAGCGCGACCGGCGTCTCGCTGCTCTAGCCGCCTCTGCAGCTCTATGGACCTGGCTGCTCCACTAGATCCCGCTCTGGATGGCGCCCAGCTCCATCACCCTCCTCGGGCTAGTCATCAACATGCTCACCACGCTCGTGCTCATCTCCTACTGCCCCACGGCCACCGAGGAAGTAGGGCTAGCCGCCCGCCCGCAGCCCGCGCCTCGGCGGCAGCGGAGGGAAACCCCCAACTGCTGTCCCCAGGAGCCCCAAATTCCCCGGGTGCACTGCGGGCGGGTCTCTGGAGGCGCCTCCAGCCGCTCGGGGAGCGCAGTGACTCCCCGCGCGGCTGAGCCTCTAGGGCAGCTGAGGGACCGACACGGCCACTGCCCCCGCGCGGTATCCGCCCCGAGCCTCTCCCGATCTGCCTGGAGAGACTGTCACGCCGCTACCCCAGACCCGTGACCCCTCCCCGCCTCCCTGTGCAGCGGAGGGGCTGTCAAAGTCACTGCCCCAGTCCCATGCCTGCACAGATCCTCCCTCCCGAGCCAGAGGACAGCCTGCCCGGCCGGTGCCAACCTCTGGGGTGAACCTGCAGTCGGGTACTCAACACCCCTGTATCCTGGCACAGGACTTGCAGCCGGGTGGGCCAAACCTAAGATGCTCTTTCGATACTTTGATAATCGTCCGTTTCTCTAAGGTTGTGCTAGTGATCCTGAAATTACTGCTGATACTGATCAAAGACAAGGTACTTTTAAGAGACGTCTTCTTTGCTTCATTGACTTTTTCATGAAAAACAAACTGTTACCAAAATGATAATCCTTATCACGACCCAGGGATCATAAAAACCACCACATTTTATTAGCAATAGTTACATTTGACCTATATCCAAAAACAACAGTAAATAATGTGGGTTTTGGACAACTGTTAAGCAGACGCAACCCTTGGGCTGAGTGTGGAGGGCTAGAGGGCAGAGCTGGGTTCACTCCCATCTGTAGCTTATAGTATAAGTGATAAATACTACTTGGCACACTCTGTGTCATTTCTTTCTTTGCCCTCCTAATAGTGAAGTCCCTTTATAATTATCTTTGAGTATCAATCCAGTGGCGGACTAATGGAGTTGAAGTTGAATAGCAGGAATACAATGGGACTACTGTATGCCTGACATTCGTGCATCCGTTTCAAAAAAAAAATATTTCATGGAGGCTACATTTAAAAAAATACCTTGACATTTTGTCTGGTATGTTTACTATATATTTCTTAGCAGACATTCTCATTGTTTTTCCTCATTGCTATTCATTTACATAGTGTTTGGAAAAAGAAGCTGCTCTAGTTTTTGGCTTTTGCGCCCCAGTTTCCAGAATTTCCCAGAGTGTATCTGAATGAAAAGACCCTGAGTTGGAAGTGAGGGTTGGCTTCTGACTAGCTCAGCTGCCACAGACCTGCTGGGTCTGTTTTCCCATGTGTCAAATAGAAAATAATGCCTCCTAAACCAGTTTCTGAAGGATGCAGGGGGAAGCAAACGATATCCCAGATAAATGTAGGGAATTATAATTTGCTCAGTAAATTAAAAATATTAGTCAATGCATTAAAAATATTACTGTTATTAAACAGTGCCCTGAAATGCATAAAAGTTTAGTTTTGATTGGTTCTAAATTCAGCTAACATTATTTGGATATTTCTGATGTTGCCAATGTTACTATTAATTTAAGAACCATTTGTTGCACATATAAAGAGCAGGGCATACAAACAAGTCCTGGGGCTTCTTTATAGGGGGGTGGAGGGGTGCTTGATAGAAGAGAGAGATTTATGATTAGTTTTTAGGCTCAGCCTCATGTGGAAAAAAGGAAGATGGCTGTAGGGATCTGAAGCACTTAAAAAAAATAAAAAATTAGAATGGTCCAACAAGGGGATATCAGGGTTAAAATAATAAGGTAAAACTAGAAAAATTTTCAAAATATATGCCATTAGATCCTGCATATGCTTCTAAGTGACGGAAACATTGAAAATATCATTTCAAGATCCACACTGCTTGTTTGGTAAAGTCCAGCAGTAGTGTGAAGAGCATAGCAGTTAGGGGCTGTTCTGCTCTAAGGTCATGGAACTAATAAATGACAGGACCAGGTAGGGTTCAAATCTAAGTTGGTCTGACTCCAAAGCTCATGTTCTTTTTACTGTATACTGCCACCTTCTCATTTGGAGTCCTTGCTTTTTTCTATGTGCTACGTAGGAAAAATATCTTGTGTTTTATATAATGCAGGTATATAAAGTGCTTTCACGTCCATGTCTGCATATGTGTCTTGTGTCAACCCAAAGAGGTGGGCAAGTTTTTTGCTTTCCTAGAATGGCCTTTTCTCCCTTGTCTCAGTATTTCTCCTATCTAGCTATCCTAAAGTAACAGTAATGTATGTTTTCATAAGAGGAAATTGTAGCCTGGAGAGGTTAAGTGACTTTAACCTGGCTTGGAACTTGTTTTCTGATTTTCAGACTTAAGGATTCATAGTGGTTTTCCATACTTGACAGATTACTTTCAGAAAGAGTCAGGAAAAAAAGCACAGAGTTTTTTGGATTTAGATCTTGGGCTTATCTATTCATATAGGCTATAATGCTGACTGTGTATCTGTAGTAATAAAAGTATTGGATAGGCAAAAAAAAAGATTTTTTTTTGAGACAGAGTTTTGCTATGTCACTCTTGGCAGAGTACCATGGCATTACAGCTCACATCAACCTCAAACTCTTGGGCTCAACAGATTCTCTTGCCTCAGCCTCCCAAGTAGCTAGGACCACCTAGCTAGGCACCTGCCACAATGCCTGGCTATTTTTTAGAGATGAGGTTTTACTCTGGCTCAGAGTGTTCTCCAACCTGTGAGCTCAGGCAATTCACCTGCCTCAGCCTCCCAGAGTGCTGAGATTACAGGCATGAGCCACACGCGAGGCCTTCACTCCCTCACCATGTGATGCCCTATACCAGCAAGAAGGACCTCATCAGATGTAGCCCCAAAGAATATGGAGGAGCAGAAAAAGCACCTACAGATAGGTTCTGGGGAGGACTTAGAAGACGAGAAGACCAGGAAAAAGTTTAAACTCCTGATTGGTGAAGTGGTCATGACCAGAATGTTTACAGGAATGTGCACAGCTTTTTGTGGCTGCTCCTTCCATCACATTCTAGAGCCTAACAGGGCAGAATGATTTCCAGGGCCTACCAGGATGTCATCACCCAGGGCTACTCCCCACACCCTGGTGCAATGCTCCAGAGCCACCTTGGGTGTAGCTCCTGCCACAGCTTTGGCAGGTAAAAGTCATAAACCTTGGCAGCATCAATGTGGTGTTAATTCTGCAATCTTGCCAAAAGCATGAACTGTGGAGGCTCCATAGACTCCACTCAGATTTTAAAGATCTCATTGAAAGTCTGAGGGCCCAGGCAAAGATTTGTCATGGAAGAGGAGCCACCACAGTGATGACCTTACTAGAGCAATGCCAAGCAGAAATGTAGACAGGGAGTCTGCTGCAGAGAGTGCACACTGGGGCAATGCCTCGTAAAACTGTGGGACCAGCATTGCCCCCTGGCACCCTAGAACTGTGGAATCATGGGCAACACACAGCACCACACCT